TGTAATAATACATCGATCCATCAATTTCAGTGGATTTAAGGTCAGTTAAAAGCATAAACATCATTGTTTCTGCTCCCGAGTTTACCAAACATCCATCAAACACTCATAAATACCACAGCTACATTCCCTGGCCTCTTATGAAACACTTCCTGCCTCCGTAGCGGCCGCTGACTTCTTATCAGCTCACCTCAGCCTCTCTCTCCGATTGGTCGTTGCGGCTGATGAGTGGAAACCAGAGCCGCAGTCACAGGCTCTGTTCTCAGCCATTAAAGAATAAAATAACAAAAAACAAGGTGATAACAACTCGAGACCTTTGTCCCTTTGAGCCCACAAGAATGCTGACTAAATTCCATCACAGTTATTCACAGCCCTCCTCCTCCTCCTCCTCCTCTCCTCCTCTCCCCTGCAGAATTAAAAATACATTACACTCAGCAGCAACGTGTGTGCGCAGTGGGCTGGATGTGCAACCCAAAAAAGGGAAAGAAAACCTTGTTCAAGCCAAAGAGGAAAGCAGATCACACGGCTGGAACAGCAACCAAATGTCAAATCAGATATGAGAATGAGCAATTGTGTGTTGGAGTCACAGCCACAATCAAAATGTTTCAGGAGGCGATGCCCCCACCGTTACAATGAGGAGGCATCATGTACCGGAGGCTTTTTTTGGGTATCATACCAGCAAATGAAAACAGCCAACTTCCTCGAGTCCGCGCGGAGACAAAACATGACTTTACCTTCTCTAAAAATGGTTGCTGCGGGAGGGCACGTACAGCAGAGCCAGGGAACGCCGGGAGACGAGCACTGGGCGGAGGCGACGGGCAAAAGACACATTGGCGTTCACAAAGAATAAACAGTGATTGCACAGGAAGACATCTTTACGTTTACAGCTAATAATTAGCCCAACTAAATGTACCTGCATGTAAACATAGAAGACAGATTTCACAGAATATGAGCAATCAGCAAACATGTGGCAGGCCTACTGCCAACAATCACAACAACACATAAGTCACACAATGTAAAAAATAATGAGAGTTTAAATACATAACAGAGGCTCAAAGCTGCGGTGCAAGCATGTGCGATAACTGTTCAGTAAAGTGCACCACATTAATATGTTAAGTGCTTTTAGTGGTTAACAAAACTAGAAAAATGCTGTGTTTGGCTTATTTTTCCTCCCTATAATCCCTATAAGAGCAAAGCTTGACACAGTTTTTCTGATCTTGGCTCTTCATGGTGTCAGCGAGAGCAGATACCCTTAATAAAGATTACTTTGAACTTCAAAAGGAGCTGAAATGCTTTGCTGTAACAAAGAAGGCAACAACGAAGGCAACAACGAATAATAAACGCCTTGAGGCGACATTTGTTGTGATTTGGCGCTATATAAATAAAATTGAATTGAATTGAATTGAACTGAAACAGTTTGTTTCAGACGAAGGATGAACTGAGAGGCTGCACCAAGGGCCAGTTCTGAGACAAATGAGGATTATTAGTCCATGCTGCTCATATGGAAGTAATCCAAGAATAAAAACAGGGAGCTGGTCAGATTTAAAGAGTCATTTTTGATCCTCGTATATGTAAAAAGGGGAAATATTGCTCAAATTTCAATTTAAATTAAGTAAAGCCAATAAAACTGTTAAAGAAAACTACAACTTTTATCACTTTTAGGTAGATTAAAAGGGACAGTCACCATTGTTAGTGATCTTAAACACTAAATTTTACAGCCTTTAAAAAGACTATAAAGTCAGGTCCATTAAGTATTTGGACAATAATATGGTCTTTATATGCTGATATGCTTATTTTGGCTTCTCAGCTGAATGATGGCCTCCCGCTCTTGGACCTCATACTGAATGCACTTAGAACAACACTTGGAATCAACTCCAAAGCTTTTATCTGGTTAGTTTCATGGGCAGCCTCACCTGGGCACGAAACTGCCTGTTGTCCGTTACTTTTGAACTTCTGAAAACGTCAGACTGTGAACAAAAATGACTGTAATTCTTCTACGGTTCACTTTTGTTAAACCCCTTGAATTAAAGCTGAAAGTCTTGATTTCAAATCCACTGAGGTGGTGCTCAAAAGGAAAAAAAAAGTGCCACCACTCAAATACTTCTGGACCTGACTGTTCATCTCCATCAAAAGTATCCAAAAGACTAATTTTTTCTTTCTGCTGAATCTACACTTTAAAAACCTTCCACTTAATTTCTAACCACACACAGTATAAAAGACAGACGCAGCCACCATAGTGTAACTCACTAGCTGGTGAAGGCCTGATGGAGGACTGCTCACTTAATGAGCCTCTTTTCTCACTCAGTGACCAATAATTTACAAAATTAACATAATTTTTTATTCAGTATGACCTGAAATTATTGACTGAGCCCACAGGAAAGAGTTTCAATGAGGTCACTGAACCAGAGGGCTGCTTTCCCTGCTGACTCTTCCACACCCAGCAGAGTCGCCCCCTGCTGGCCATCAGTTTACCCAAAGAAGGCGTAGGTTTCCTGGCTATTATGAATACATATAACGGGGTTGCAGTTAAGACAAATCACACTGATGATGTAGAGGTCTCAAAAACTGATGCATTAAATATGATACACACGTCATCACATTATCACCAGGTTCCTCCACACTCCTGTTTGTACTGTGAGACGAAGCAGATTGATAAAAAGCAGAAACAACACTCCTGAGCTTTTTATGCTGCAAAAGATTTTTATTTCAACCGCCTGCTGAGTATGTACAGGAGAACAGTTTGTACATAAATAGGCAATAGTTATAAATATCAGCAGTTTGGCTGGTACAAAATTAAAAAAGAAGATATTGTACATTATCTACAGGAGAAGTGCCACTTTGGGTTTTATGTACAGCTTTGTCTCTGGGTGGATTGTCCATGTTAGTCCATTCACATGTTACCTGAGCTGCGTTGCACATGCAGCCACAGCGGCGGGTACACAGTATGTGTCCGGGGTTGGGGCGGGATTTGTGGCATTTGGGCAACAGCAGACTTGAGGTGGTGGCTGTGGTGGTACGAATGGTGGGTGCAGCTTCTATCATAAGCCTATTGAAAGAGACAGATTATTGAGCTGGGTGTCTCCCTGCAGCGTGATGGCGTTACTTTTTTTAAAAAGTCTAGAGGGGATTATTAGTTGCTGGGTGTCTCCTTTAGATATACGGTCACACGGCTCAATCACAGAACCTGGAGCGGAAAAACACACACACATATCCGTCATGACCAGTAATGGCACGGGGTGCGAATGCTATTCAGCGGTTAGTTTGTTTATGAAGCACACTGCGGCTATGTACAGCTCTGGATGTGCAGATCTGACAGCATCGAGTCCATTCTTGCAGTTTTAATCGGCACATAAAAAAATCACTTTATGTAAAGACAGTAAAACTGCTGTCACTTGCAAGTAGGTCCTCACACCCCTTCTCCGACCCTTTAAACACCCCCGACCACCAGCACAATGAAAGAAAACACATGGAAATCCTTTTATTCTAGTCACCGCGCACGACCGCGCAGACCGACACCGAACACGGCGACAACGATGCTCATCAGTCTCCTGTGAGCCGCATACGAACATGCACAAAGTGCCCGCAGAAACAGATTTCACTGCTATGACAGCAGGTGAGTCACGATTGGTCCCTGAAAGCTGAGCTTACACATTCAAACGGGCGGTGCAGACCACGTGCAGAGCAACCCAGTGATACAGGGAGAAAACAAACAGGGGGAGGGGCTTTAGGTGACTCCTCGTTTACCTGTTTTTTTGTTCAATATTTCCAAACCCCACAATCATCTCACAGGCATTCAGGCTCCTGCTGCTACTTCATTCCAGTGCAATATCGCCCCCCTGTGTGCTGAACTGGTAGTGAAGGTAAACTGTGTTACATCATTACATAATTTACCTTCAGAGCCACAAAACCGCAAAAAAAATAAAAGAAATAAAAATCACACAATCTTAACAACACAAGCATCTTTTTGAATGTGCGTAAAAAGTACATAAAACCACTAACTCTTTATGTTGACGTCAGTAAGATGAGAAAACAGGATGAGTAAAGCTAGACTGTGGGTGATACTTTGGTATTTCGACCTCGTGGGTGAAGTTGAACTTTCTTCGGCACCGCCTGTGTCTGGCATCTACATACAGTAACTTCGAGCACAGTCTTCATATTATTTTGTTTTTTCCAAAGCATCATCATCATCATCATAATCTGTGTCTGCGTGTGTATAGCATCGGGTCAATGCACACTGATCTAAAACAAGGCAGATTAAAGTCAGTGCAACGTGCAAAGTTAAACTTAAGGAGCATGGGTTCATAAACAAAACAATAAAGAAAAAAGTAGGCATAGAATAAAAGAAGAAGAAGAAGAAGAAGAAGAAGAAAATAAGTCAGAGCAGCAGAATCTGTGACCTTCTCCGGGGAGGGAGGGATGGCTTTCCACGGGGAGTTTATACTGAAGCAGTGCAGACATAAGCAGCACTACGGTGAGCCGAGGAGGACCGGGGCTCCAGAAAATCTGCACCTGCAGGACTCACAGACTCATTTGGAACAATTTCTCTGGGAATATGCTGATTCTCAAGCAGCAAAGTGACCCTTTTCAATGCTGACGCACCTTTACTCCTCTTACCCTGAATAAGGAAGAATTAATCTATAAAGAGCCAAACCAAATCACTCCCTATTACAGACGCCTCCTGTTTTGTTCAACAAACCGTTTATTCGCCTTCTTGCTAAGAGTTTTGATGATGCCCCTCTGATGTCTGTACCGTGAATATGAAGCTAAGGATGTTTTCAGTCAACAGGATGCCAATCAGGTGTATTTATTTAAACAAAGGGGATCTATCAAACACGTTAGAGCAGGGGTAGGGAACTCCAGGCCTCGAGGGCCGGTGTCCTGCAGGTTTTAGATGTGTCCTTGATCCAAAACAGCTGATTTAAGTGGCTAAATGACCTCCTCAATGTCTTGAAGTTCTCCAGAGGCCTGGTAATGAACTAATCATTTGATTCAGGTGTGTTGACCAAGGGTGCGATCTAAAACCTGCAGGACACCGGCTCTTGAGGCCTGGAGTTCCCCACCACTGCGTTAGAGGGACGTTAGAGGGTAAAATGTAAGAGGGGTGTCAAGGTTTGAGCCTGGCCCGCTGCCTCTCAGCAGGAAGGCGTGCGTGACCTGAACCTCAAAGAAGGATCAAAGAAAAATAAAGGTCATGTGTTGAAAATACAATCCCTGACCGAAGTAAGACCTGAAGCGAGGCGTTCACACGAGGAAACGCGCTGCAATCTCAGAGTCTGAATGCTCCTGTACGGAGGTATGGGCTAAAAACCCTCAGAGTTGATGCGCAGGACTGATCGATGATTACAGGAACGCTTAGCTGCCTTTACTGCTGCTCATGGGCGTAAAACCTGCATACTGACAGCACAGGTACACCTACCTTTGCCTCACACACACTGGAAATACTGGATGGTCAAATTTCCGTTTCTTTTCTCTAATCTGGTTCTTTTCCAACTTTTCGAATGAAAATATTTTTATTATTACAGAAAATTCCTGCAACTCGATTATCATTAAAATGTTATATTGTTTAATGGAGATAAATCAGATGCAGGTAGATAACTTTACTGTCTCCCGGCTCCACCTTTGTTTACAGTAAAGACATCAGAGTGACATCGATCTCATCCTCTCTCTCTGTCTGTGGAAGAAAGCCAATAAACACACTCCCCAAACTACTCGTCTGACTCCGCTCAGAGTTGTTGTTGGCACGCTTTAAAATCGATCATCATATGCTGGTTTTCCTCTGCCACTTCGCCAACATTTACAAAGTGCAAAAATTCAAAGCTTCTTCCTGCTCGTGAGTCGGATGCTGCGGCTTTCGAGCCATCTCAGGAGAAGGAGCGAGAAGCTGTATGCAGGCCTAGAGGAGCGGCGGTGGTTTAATACTGATGAAGGTGTTTTACTGCTGATGGACACTGTTGTTCTTTTGTTTGTTTGCTGAACTTTTGTTCCGATCGCCAAAGGAGATCATCAGCTCACGATTACAGGTCGCTGTTTAAAAAATAGATTTTTTTTCCTCCTCCCTCAAAAGTTCAACAGAAAGCCTTTGAGAGTCAGTCGGCCACCGAGGCTTGCTGTTTTCACAGAGAAGGCTTTTGGCACGAAGAAGTGGCATAACTCTGGAAACTCAAGAAACATGGCTTTCAGGTCCAGAAGCTGAGGCCGAGCCTCCGCCCGGCGCTGCTCTCTGACACGATGATGACCTTCCTGCACAGTGCAGAGACGCTGGGGGGGGGACGCTCTACCCTGGATCCGGCCCTCAAAAGGTCCAGAGGACTTGTGCCTCATGTCCTTCCATAAAAGCAGGCCTAAAGTCTCTGCCCGGCTCGGTTTGCCCGCTCTGCTCCCGTGTCTCCCTTTCACCCCGTCATGGGTTTTCTTCACAGCGTGGCCAGGATCCGCGAGAAGGATATGACGACGGAGAGGGTGGTCTGGCCCACGCCGAGCACCAGCGCCTCCAGCGGTGCCATGCCTTTCCCCGCCACGCGGTAAACGCCCGCCACGGCCGCGCCTGAGGGAGATAAAAAAATTAAAAAGTCAATGTTAATACAAGATCTGGCAAAGAGAAAGACATACACACAGCTGCCTGTCACCATTAAACCCAACTGAACATCCACAGTCAGGGGATCAGCGGACAAACATGTCCCTCCTGATCTCGCCCTTCTGTCAGTGATGGAGGAGCGTTCGTGCATGCCTCCTCGCAGCCACACTCTGAGCGGACTCGCTGCTCTTCCTGCAGCAGTTCTCACTGCACGCTGTCCGTCTGGTCATGATTGAGACAAACAGCAGGAGAGGACGTTTCTCTAATCCAGGCACCAAAGCCGAGTGAGCTATTTTTAAACTGCTGGACTCGAAGGCCGAGAAAATCTAAACAAAGTTTATCAGTTAACGCTACTAGCAGCGCTCCAGCGAATCCTCCCTTCATCGAGGTTATCATATTTACCGTGTGGAGGATGCAATCTCTGGTGCTTTTACAGAAAACAAAGTGATCGTGTTACATTTTTCAGTAACAGTGATGTAACAGGTTACTGTGCTATACTCAGCAGTTAGATTAGAGTTATATCATGTTGTTACATGCGTTACAAAAGGCTCTTCAGTAATCTGCACGTCAGGCGGATAGAAAGAAAACATAATGCGTGCAGAAGGAAAACCAGTATTTCTAAAGTAGCATCACACTGGCTTTAAAGTTGGAATGTTTCTCATCTTTGCTTTGTGTTTGTATTAAAAACTAAAAGAAAAATTGCACGTGTGTCCTGATTAAAAAGAGAAAGAGGTTGGTTTCTGTGTCTAAATCTTCAGCTTTTAGTATCAACAGGGGTTTAGTGTTCAGTCTGCCACTGGAAGGTGCCCATTGGGTGCAAACCAATCCCAAATGATCACGCCTCCTCCATTGTGCATGACAATAACATTTATTTGTGCTGCTGATATTATGCACTTTGCATTATTACCAAACATCTCTGATTTGGACTCATTTGTCTAAAGGACAATGTGCCAGACGTCTTGTGGTTTGCTTAGTTGAAACACACAAAGCTGTTTCATCATGCAAACCTTCCAAACACAACATAAACTTAAACATGTAACATGTCAACTGAGGCCTGTAGACTGTAAACTGTAGCTCAGACAAACATCTGTTTTAAACAGTGGCAAACAGCATTCAGTGATTCAAATCAGAGTCCTGGACATTTAATGTTATAGAAAAGGACTTTAAAACAACTATTAAAGGCTGACATTTCCTCTGTGCTGCGTGACCTTTCTTTTACTTCTACTCAGCTGCGATTGCTGCCTTTGCAGTCTCCACACACACACACACACACACACACTCACACACACAAACACACACTCTGATTTTGTGCCGGGCTCGCGTACACATGGCTGGTGACGCAGTCAATAGTCTAGCTCACTCTGATTGCTACACATTAATAATAAAGCGGCTTTTCTATTTTTGGGGCACCGGCTCACATCTGTGGCGGTGAGTGAGTCATCCACAGAGCCCTACGCTACGATAGACGCAGGTCTATTCACACACCCTGTGCTCACACTCTGATACAGTGAGGGGAAGGTAAACGCAAATAAACAAGGCTTGGATATCAGCTTCACCTGCAGTGTTTAAAAAAGGAATAAAGTGAATATTTTTGTGTTTAAAAAATAGGATTAACTGGCAGATATATCAAATTTTTAAACTATAAACTATCTGATTACTCCTGTTTAATATGATCAGATAAGACCAGTTCTGCAGTTTTGTTAAGGTAAATAGTTCATTAGATTAACTTTCATTTCAGGCAATGCAGGGACATAAAAATTGGGTCCTGATGCAGAATCTGCCTTCAGAAGATTAAAGTCAGAAAGTTGAAACAAGCCCATAAATTCTTTATCCTACAGATCCCCATTTAAGGTAGCCCAAAATATTGGATACAAAATACTGATATTTGTCCTAGCTCAAGATAATATATCACACCTGGTATAACAATGAAAACAGTTATTAAAACGTGCAGACAGCGAACAGATTTCCTCACCGTTTTGATTCACAGTAGAAAATAAATGATTCCTGATTTCTGCCTTTTTAGAGTCTTATAGGGTATTTTTATTTCACAGTCACCACAGATGTCATCATGTGTTATAGATAACTATCTGCACCACTCTACTGTGTTATATTAAGTGTTAACAAAGAGAGATGAATTAGATGGCCTCAGACTAATTACCCCTGGTCTTCAAGGATCCGCTGCCCCTCATTTCTAATGCAGACTTGCAGGTATCATCATTAGTGCTGAACCCATGGACTCTGCGGGGAACGTGACCTGAGGTGCACCGGGACTTCTTACCTTCTTACCCTAATGGATCAGTCACACTAGAGTAAAAATAGCACAGCACCTTTTTTGCGACTAGAAAAAGGAAAAGAAAACTGTTTTGCTCTGAGTGAGTAGTTGCAGCGACCAACAGCTCCTGGCCTGAGGATGCATGCTTACTTTCCACCACTGTCAATCGACTGACTGCACCCCATCTAATCACAGATAGACTTCATCTTATTGCTGTTTTATCGCTGTCTTGACACATCAAATTGTCAGCTGCATTCATTTTGGTTGTGTTTCATTCTCCAACCACTGTTTTCCTTACTGTGACTGTAACAGCCTGTCGCTATTTGAGAATTTGTCTCAAAGCCGCCCAAACTTTAGCACATTCACTTGGATGTAATGGTGTAGCTCTTAGACTTGACTAAAGGAACTGACTGTTAACTTAAAGTGGGGTGGTGTCAAGAAATAAGACTGTATTTTGTTTTTTGTTTTTCCCCATTTGTTCTGAGGTTACTGCAGATATCTGATGAACAGCAACATGTAGAAAATCTGTAGATGCAGCTAAAAGTCTGCTTCAAGCAAATGACTAAACACCCACATTTAAATCGTTTGAGCATTTGGAACAAAAAAAGGAAACACGCCAGACTTCTCCAAGCAGCTCAAAGACCAGGTAGGAGT